CACCCAGGTTGGAGTGCAGCAGTGCAATCTCAGCTCACTGCAACCTCCACCCCCCAGGTTCAAGCAAATCTCCTGCCTCAGCCTCCTGAATAGCTGGCACTACAGGTGCACACCACCACACCTGGCTAATTTTTGTATTGTTTTAGTAAAGGTGGGGCTTCACCATGTTGGCCAGGCTGGTCTGGAAGTCCTGACATCAGGTGATCTGCCCGCCTTGGCCTCCCAAAGGGCTGGAATTATAGATGTGAGCCACCATGCCTGGCCAGTAACTGCTACTTTAAAGTAATTTGGGGACAAGACATGGAAACCCACAAAATATGACATTTGGAAGGGACTGGAATTTAAGCTCCATGAGGGCAGGGACCTCATCTGTTGGATTATTACTCTACCTCTATTGCCCGGAACACTGCCTGGCGTCATATATATTTCTTGAATGAATAAAGAATCCTAAAATCAAATCAGATCTCTGGCTTTAGGTTTCCAAGGGTTGGCAGATGCCCTCCAGGCAAGTGTCACCTTCCAGTGCTCCACTGGACCTCCTGATTTGGGATTTATAGTTGTTTCTGACTTTAGTCACATGTCACAAAAGCACTGTTTAAACTTTAATCTGTAATTTTTATGTGGTTAAGAAGGGTTCTTCAGGATACCTAATCTACCCTATTGCTGGAATTTTGTCAATTCATATGTTGATGCAAAGATGTGAACATTCATCAAGTGTTTATTGGTTACCTATAGTCAACCGGTTACTGTGCAGCAATCTGGGGATATAACATCAAAAAGGAAACATATAAGGTAACACTCCGTGGGGACACAGACAATGAACACCACGTAGGTGAATGAACTGGTTGCTACTCCAGCCACATCTGGGAACAAGATAATGTAATCGGTTCAGGAAAATTCCACATAAGATCCCAGGAAAGAAAAAAGTATGTGTGTGATTCTTATCAACTTTGGACTGCTCCATTAAACCAGTTGAATTTCAATGCATGGCAAGGGTATTTGCATTCAGTAAAAACCCCAGTAGGAACCTGTAATACCAAAAATCAACTGAGTTATTTGTCACAAAGAAAAACACCTAGCCACTGCATTAATGTGGCAACAGGAGAAATCATATCAGAATCTACATCTTCATTACAGGATGGTCTTTTAGTGGTTGCTGAATGCTCTTTTTACTGTATTACTTTTCTCTGAAATTGCATCTTAGATGCCAAGCATTTTACTACATTCTGGAATGACAAGGCGCCTTCACCATAAGAGGCATTCAGATCAGGGTGCCACGTGGAGTGAAATAAAGAGAATGTAATTAGTATGAAAATAAAAATGTGCCCAGCATGCTTTGAGAGCATACTCTTTTCAAGGTTAGGAAGCCAGGTGACTAATCTCTCTCTTTAAAAATTATTATCACTAGAAGTTTTTTTGTGTATCTTATTTTCTCCTTAGTATAAAAGCAAGACATGGTCTCAAGAATCATTGACAATACAAATCACCTGAAACTCATTTCTAACTGAGGTCTAGGTTTGGTTTGAGATCATTCACTTTAAAAACAGAGAGTGACTAAAAACTAAACAAACAAAAAACCAATGAGCAGATCTTGCATAAGTCTCTAGTTTTATTCTAGTTTGCCTCAGTTTACTGTTTTTTGATCTGTTTTGCATTATGTAGAGTGAAAGAATAGGCAATCAGGATTCATAGAAACGCTAGTATTGGCCAGGCACAGTGGCTCACGCCTGTAATCCCAGCACTTTGGGAGGCCAAGGCGGGAAGATCGTTTGTCAGGAGTTCAAGACCAGCCTGACCAACATGGTGAAACCCCATCTCTTCTAGAAATATAAAAATTAGCCAGGTGTAGTGGTACAAGCTTGTAATCCCAGCTACTTGGGAGGCTGAGGCAGGAGAATTGCTTGAACTTGGGAGATGGAAGTTGCAGTGAGCCGAGATGGCACCACTGCACTCTAGCCTGGGTGACAGAGTGAGACTCTGTCTCAAAACAAAAAAGAAATACTAGTATTAACTGAAAGTTCCTAAAAACTCTTGGCTATTTTCTAAGGTTGTCTTCAGTGTTATTTCATATATTTTCTTTCTTCAAGAGGTTATGAACTTTGATTATGTGAATTTGGATTCTTACATAAAGATGATTCTGAGTTTGTGGTTTTTGTGAAAAAGAGATTCTTAAAATTATTATTAAAAGCCTTGTACATTTAAAGTAATGTAATTTTAGTCAACTATTACTTTCTGGAAACTCTGGGACTATTACATTTAAATAATGCTCATTTCTATAAGCAATCAGAAAGAGATTCTTTATTTTGAGAAATTTACATCTAATTTATTAATATGCTCTGAAGGTAGGAAAATATTTCACACTCAAAATGAAAGGTAAGGACTTTTCTTTCTCCAGTGCAGATACACAGAATGTGTTCAGCTTCTGTCCTGCAGCTATAGCCATATGTCGAATGTAGACACAGGAATGCAAAACCCCACTGGTTTTTTGTCCAAGAGCTGTTCTTTCCAGTGGACCCAGGACATGGTCTTGTACAAAAAGACAGACAGGCACACAAAAAGACTAAACAATGCATTCTCTGTTGTCTCTCAACCAATTGAGAATAGATCTTTATAGAATCAATATATTATAGATTCTCATCCCAGCAAATAACTCTAAATGGTCAGACCATAAAACCCAATTTCATTTATTTCTACTATCAGTGAGGAATTACAAGTACGTATCAGAACCAAACTTGGTCTCATATCAGAAACAAAATCATAGAACTGGAAATAAAAATCAGAGAAACTCTCAAAAAAGCAAAGTTCTGTTGCCACTTGGAATTAACTGTGGGTGCCAAAAAATCATGTAAATGGGCTTAAACAGCTCATGAATTGCATCTCTGAGGCATCACAATTTAATTGGTTCTGGTAGGTGAGTCTGCTTGAGCATCTCTGTGGGACCTCCAAAACTGTTCAAAGCATAATTTAAGAAAAAAATAAAAACATGACTGAAAATTATGCAAAATGTGCAGGTGCCAGGTATTTATTTAACTCATTAATGAGAGAACCAATAGGATGGTAAGCCTGGTGCAGAGAGAATTGAAGAGAGTGAAGTGCTATTGAAGAGAGTGCTAAAAGAAAGAATGCTTAAGATTCCGATTTAGATAAAAAACTGGTTAATGTCTTACAGGGCAATAAAACTGTAACCTTTGAAGTGGTCTTTTCTACAGGACTAAAATCATTTGCATCTCTACCAGACACAATTAATATGCAATGATATTGAGCAAGAATTATTTGCATCTCTGACATTTTTCTAAGGTTAATAATACGTCAGGGAACCCAAACAGCACGAGTGACAACCAGTTGTTTAGTCATTCAGCAAATCGTTCAGGGAGGCCTACTGTGTCCCCAGGACTGTTTTCAGAGTTGAGGATACCACAGAGTCTGTTTTGTGCTTTACCCTCCTGAAGGTCACAATCACTTGGTCTGGTTGTACATCCCTTGCTCCGGCTGCCTTTGCCACACCTGGGGAGAGCCTGGCCCTGTACACAACCTTCTCTCATGTGCAGTATCTGGCAATCCACATTCAGATTATAAGGAGACCAGGAAATGCTTATTCTGTATTCTTTTTCAAGAATATCAGTAGAAGCTAATTAAATAAATCAGTTGTACAATTTTGCCTTAGACATAAAAAATTCCATTAAAGAGAAATTCATCTGAATATTATTTTAAAACCTGGCTGTCTTTGTTCTGAGTATTGTCTTTGATATAGAATATCCTGGTTCTGAGGAAAAGGTTTACTGAAAAGAGTTCATTTGCCTTTACTCTTCATTTCACTCAGTTTTAAGTTTTTTTCAACTTAAAACAATCAAAGAGACAAAGTGATCACATTTCTGGATTCTCCTCTTGCCTAAGAGGCATTTTGTATTTGGCATCTTCCGTCATCACTCTTGCATTTTATAGATTTTTGCATTTTCTACAAGTGTATATAGTTTCTGCTTTGGTTCGATATTATCTTAAGTAAATAAGGGTGTGTGCTTTCCTTTATGACTCTCAAATAGTGTTTTCTATTTTGGAGGAATTTATTACATGCCTGCTTTCTGTAATGGACCACTCATTGGCCACTTACTGAAGTGTATCCTGCCATTAGTGGTTTTGTCATATAAAGCATAATTGAATGTACTTTATTGAAATCCTGTAGCATAATCCAGTTATTTTGGTTTTTGTGAAGTGCTTGGGTATATCGGCTCCATTCTTTTTAGCAGCTTGAGTCTCACCGTTGAGTTTGGCATGTTTTATTTTTCCCATCGTTCAAGAAAATGTCTTCATTCTGTGAAGGTAATTTGATCCTAGAGTTTAATTCTACTTTAATTGTGTATATGAACCAAATATTGATGTGCTGTATCATTTCATATGTGAATTGAATGAATATTTATGCAGATATAATTATTCACCATGAAGATATCTCTTTTTGAAAATGTTGAAGTGTATGTTGACCATCTATAAATTATAGATGAATACATTTTCAGTTAGAAAATCTTGGTCTGTCACGTGTCTTTTAAAGAGTAAAATCTGTAACTTCTACAATTGAAGAAAAAGTTTAAATCATTGTAGAATTAATACAATGGATAGTTTTTACTTTTACATTTATTTTAGAAATGTCTTTCACTTGAATTTTCTGGTTAATAACAAAATTAAACTTCCACAATGTAAATAAAATACAAATAACTGATTTTCTCACTAGAGAAAGGAATGCATTCTTTTAGGTAGCTAACAGTCTTAAAAACTTGCTTTTAAATTCCTATTTTTCTGCATTAGTGTGTTTATATCACAGAGTCACTTTTATATTATAACATAAACATAAAAGAATACATTGTGTTTGTTTTACAATCCTCATGATACGAATGAAGTTGGGTATGGTCTAAATATTTCCAGACTGTCTTTTTATGCTTTTTGTCGTTGAAAGAAGAGCATTGTACAAACACAGCATTTAACCCTTCTCTCAAATTTTGCATCTTCAGAGGCAAGGAACTGCCCCACCGCCGATGAAACTCCCTCCTCCTTATAAAGCTCGGTCTGATGACAGTGATGAAAATGAAGAAGAAGATGCCTTTACCCACCGTGAGTGCCTTTTCACTATTTAGGGTAGATGCAGAACTTACTAAATTATGTTTTAATGACTGTTGTAAATTATCAAATATATGGCTGTGAGTTCTTCAAAAATGTGCATGAACGTATGCTGAAAAAGCAAATCTATACCTTTGAAGCTTTTGTGGCGTCATTTCCTCAGCTTTTCCCTTTGACACTGAGAAAGGGAATATTGAAGGAAGCTATATTGTACACTATTTTTCCTATGTTTCCTTCTAATCTTATTGTTTGGTTGTGAATACAAAAATGTCCCTAGTCTTTGAAATTAGAAGTTGACCCATAATTATCTGGGTTGGATGTAGATTTCAGTTGTTGATTACTTGCCTTACTCAAAGTGATGTTGCTAATGCAGAATCACAGAAGGCCCACCAACTTGTATTTTGCCCTTTAAAATTCATCTCACGATTTTCTTTTGCATTAGATGAATCAAATATCCATTCATACATATATGTAACTGTGGCTTTACTTAAAATAATTTGCATTTCTTTTATGTCTGTATAGTGTATACTATTGCTAATGTATACCAAATTTCTTTTGGAGGTGATGAAATGTTCTAAGATTAGATAGTGGTGATGGTTACACAGTTTGTGAATATACTAAAATCACTGACTTATACATTGTAAATTGGTGAATTTTATGGTATGTGAAACATATGCTTCCTTAACAGAATGTTTTCCCTTCTACAATATAGAAAAGGAATTCAATATCAAAATTGAGTCAAAATTCTTACTCTAGCAGTTCCTAGAGTGTGACCTTAAATATGCCCTCTTCTATAAAAAGGATGCAATAATGATACCTACTTCATAGGGTTGTAATGAGGATTAAAATAAAGCAATAAAGCCTTTAGCCTGCCACATAGTGAGTCTTTGATAAGTATTATAGCTCCTATTATGGTTATAATAATTATTTATATTTTTCTTAATAAGTAACAAATATATAAATAGAAATAAAATATAAAATAAATGTAATTTATAATAATTAAGTTGGTGTTATAAAAACTTGAATTGTACTTTGCAATTTTATAAAGCCCTTTCTAGTGTCATTTTCTTCATGCATTCAATAAATCGTTTTTGAATACCATCTGCTTTTTAGTAACAGTGTTAAGTGAGTCTGCGATGGAATGAGTAACACATCGCTCCTTTTGTCTTGATTGAACCACCACCGTGGAAGGGATAATGCAAAGGCATGGGAACAAAGTGTGATAAGTGTACTGTGGGCTTTAGTTCTCAGTCTCTTTTTGGAGAGCTACACATGGTATATAAAGTTGATATGTATGTACACATGTGTAATATATTTCCTTGTTCTGATATAGATATCAGGGCAACTGCCACAGAATGGAGCTGAGTTGTTGATTACTCCATACATTCTGGTTTCCTAGAAGGCCAGTATTTGTTGAGGTGTGCACCTAAGATTATGTTCTAATCCTAGTTCCATTACTTGCTAGTTGTGAGTTTTTGGACAAGTTATTTAACTTCTGCATGGTTCACACTTGCTTATCTATGTGGGGGTGAGCGAATATCTTATAACCTGCCTCCTAGTATTGTTGCAACAATTAGAGGAGAAAAAGCTTTTGAAGAGCTTAGTACAGGCAATGTGATACCTACTAAATGCTCTGGTTTACCATGTACCAGTCATTGTTTTAAAGCCTTTATGTGTGTTATTAACTCAGTCAACATACTAATTTTGTGAGGTTCTAATTATACAAATAAAAGCTCAGAGAAATTAAAGAATGTGTCTAAAGTTAGACAGCTAACAAATAGTAGAAATGGGGTTCAAACCCATGTACTCTTACTCCAGAACCTGTAACATGATCGACACTTGCTGTTACTTAAAACTCATTATGATTGCAGAAATAGGTAGAGCTGGGCACAGTGGCTCACGCCTGTAATTCCAGCACTTTGGGAGGCTGAGGCAGACAGCTTACGTGAGGTCAGGAGTTCAAGACTAGCCTGACCAACGTGATGAAACCCCGTCTCTTAAAAAAAAAAAAAAGGTACAGAGTGATTTGGGGTTCTCTCTTAAATATCACTTCTATGCCTAAAATAGGCAGAATCAGCAGTGTCCTCCCCAAAGTTACAAGCTCATTTGCACAGGCACATATACACGGCAGCAGTGGGGTCAAGAAGGACACTAATTTACTTCAAATGCAGAAAAAGACTTCTAATATTCAGCCATTCTTGAGCTATAATATTATACATTTCATAGATTCTCCAGCAGACCTATTTTGGCTGTGTATATTACTTTTCTCTTCATTCATTTTGCTTCCTAATTTTTTTCCTTCCCAGTATACCATCCCCATTTTATACCCTATTAAATTTACTGTTAACCTTCTCCAGAAGAGTTTGAACTGTATGGAGGTATTTGTTAGATAAATTCACATTTGAAATGCACGTGAACCTGAAGCCTCTGGCCTTCCAGTATTTCCTTTTGAAATAGATCCCATGGGTTTTTCTTTGTTCCTTGACTCATATTAAATGAACACTCTGCTCATCTGTTCTAAACTAAAAGTATTTTGGGTTGCTGTTTTATCAGATTCTTGTCCGAAGACTAAGCCTTTGTTTTTACAGTGATGAAAGTATGGCTCTGTAACTTTCCCAAGGACCATGATTCTGCAGCAGATGGCTGCAATGTAAGCTGTCAGCATACAGGGAAGTGCTGATTTTATTAGAGAGATCCAGGGATGAGATACACTTGGTTTTTGGGGGTTTTTCGAGATGGGGTCTTGCTCTGTCACCCAGACTGGAGTGCAGTGGCACAATCATGGCTCACTGAAACCTCAGTTTCCCAAGTAGCTGGTACCACAAGTGTGTGCCACCAGGCCTGGCTAATTTTTTTTTTTTTTTTTTTTGTTTTTGGAGACAGAGTTTCACTCTTGTTGCCCAGGCTGGAGTGCAGTAGCACCATCTCGGCTCACTGCATCCTCAGCCTCCCAGGTTCAAGCGATTCTCCTGCCTCAGCCTCCCGAGTAGCCAGGATTATAGGAATGTGCCACCACTAATTTTGTATTTTTATTGGAGACAGGGTTTCTTCTCCATGTTGGTCAGGGTGGTCTCAAACTCCTGACCTCAGGTGATCCACCCACTTTGACCTCCCAAAGTGCTGGGATTATGGGCGTGAGCTACCACGCTCAGCCTAATATTTTAATTTTTTTGTAGAGATGGAATCTTGCTATTTTGCCCAGCTGGTCTCAGACTCCTGGGCTCATACTATCCTTCCCAAAGTGCTGGGATTATAGGCGTGAGCCATCACACACTAGTCTAAAACATGTTAAGAGCTGGCTTTACTAGTTACTTAATTATAAAGTTTATTCAGATAAGAAGTGTTTATTGAGTTGGATGTTATGGGTGGGGAGACACTGTTATAGGTGTTGAGAATATGGAAGGGAACATGGCCATTGCTCTCATTAGCTTAGATTCTGGTAGGGAGAAAGATTATAAACAATCTGATAGTTTAAATAGTGATAAGGTCTCTGAATGAAATAAAATAATAAAATTTAAAAATTATGTTAAAAATAAATTTTAAAACAAAAATAAAAAATAAAAACAAAACATGGTAGCATGAGAATAAGTGCATTGGAGAAGACGTTATTAAGTGGAATGGTTAAGAAAGGCCCAAATAGGCTGGGTACCGTGGCTCACGCCTGTGATCCCAGCACTTTGGGAGGCTAAGGCAGGGGGATCACTTGAGTTCAAGACCACCTGGGCAATATGGCAAAACCTATCTCTACAAAAGTTACAAGAAATTCACTGGGTGTGGTGGTGAGCATCTGTAGTTCCACCCACTTGGAAGGCTGAGGTGAGAGGATCGCTTGAGCCTGTGAGGTAGAAGCTTCAGTGAGCCGAAATCATGCCACTGCATTCCAGGCCAAATGACAGAGTGCGACTCTGTCTCCAAAATGAAACCTAAATGAAGAAGGAACCACACTGCAAAGATCTGGCTCATATAGTCATCGTATAGATGAGGGCTTTTTTGAGCCTGAGACTGTGACCCACAGTAAAATACACTTTACTTAACCAGTATAGAGGAACACACACAGGAACATGCATGTATAATTGAAACAAAAGTTTTATGAAATATTACTTACCTTTATAATGTGTGAATTTTATTCTTTTTTATTTTATCCTATTTCATGTTTTTAAACATTGGTTGCAACTCAGTATATTTTATGACTAACAAACAAGTCACAACCTGCATTATGAAAAACACTAATTTAGATCCAAGGCTTTCAAACTTCAGTGTGCCTCAGAAGATTCCAGAAAGCTTATGAAAACAGTAATTGATAGTCGTGGTCATTCCCTGCGCGCCCCCCCCCCCCCCCAACACACACACACAGCCCAGGCCATTTCTGTTTCCTTAAGCCTGGACCTGATCGTTTGCATTTAGAATTAGTTTCCAGGTGATGCCAGTATCACACTTCTGATCCAGAGACTACAATCTGAAAACCAAAACCACTGATCGAAATGGTCTTTAAAGTCATGGGAGCCCATAAGCTTACTTAGGAATACTGTGTAGACAGCAACAAGAAGCAAACCCAGCACCTGCCCCATGAGCCACCAAGGAACACTTTAGCATAAGGACACTTCCAGGAGATTAGGGGATTATGTTGTTTATGAGAGAACGGTGTTTCAAGAAGGCTGTCACTGACCTTCAGTGGTCAAGGGGGGAATGCTGCTAAGAAGTTGAAGAGGCTGGAGACATGAAAATAACCATTGAATTTAACAACAAGAAATTGATGAAGAAGAAGAGAAAAAGGACACTTGATAAAATAACTGTAGTATGCAGGGCGCAGGTGCTCACCCCTGTAATCCCACCACTTTGGGAGGCCGAGGTGGGCAGATCACTTGAGGTCAGAAGTTCAAGAGCAGGCTGGCCAACATGGTGAAACCCCATCTCTACTAAAAGTACAAAAATTAGCTGGGTGTGGTGTTTTACACCTGTAGTCCCAACTAGTCAGGAGGCTGAGGCACAAGAAT